CGCCCGGGCTGCTCAGTTCCTCCCTCACTCTGCTTATCTCGCCTGTCCAGCGGGAGACGCCTGGTGCGTACAGAACACTGGCAGAACCAAAGCTGATTTTCTAATGTTGCTGCTAGTTTTAGAGCAGCATCAGATTCGTCTCCGGTATCATCTCCCTGCTCGGGGAAGTGGGTCTGTTCGCTGCGTGTGACTTTCTGTACTTTGCCTTTATGGTTTAAACTGTCTGCTTATGCCCCGAACTCTACGAATGTCCACTTTCCCTCCAAACACAGTTAAAAATCTATTTCTTCCCAGGCTAACTCAGTTTCATTTTTTTTTCTTTTTCTTTTGAGACAAGGTCTCGCCATGCAGTTCAGGCTGGTCTTGAGCTCATTTTGTAGCCCAGGCTGGTCTCAAACTCACAAAGATCCTCCTGCCTCAGCCTCCCGAGTGCTGGGATTACAGGCGTGCACCACCACGCCTGGTGAATTATTTTCTTACTACAGAATTTTTTTTTGGTACTGGGAATCAAATGCATGACCTCGCATTTGTCAGGTAGGTACTATGCCACTGAGCTATATGCCCGGCCCCTAGTATGTTTTTTTTCTTCTCATTGTTGTATTAAAGATATAACCACCCAAATTTTAGAATTTATGAGTACCCCTGGAATGCAAACCAGATCATTCTTTCTTGCTACTTAGAAAATCTTTGCAGAACAGCAGGTGTGTCTTTTCCTCTCGTGAACTGCAGTAACATCCACTACAGGTGGGTAGCAGGTGCCCAACAGATACTACTACCATGAAGTGACACTTGGTGAAACACTTCCCAAACCAAAACAGCCAAACTAAGCCGAACCCACCAAACCAAACCGATCCAAGCCACGCAAAGACGCAAAAACTAAATGCAGAAACCGTATCCTCCAACAAACCAACAACAAAAATTTATAAAGCGCCACTGAAGTGAGATTTATTTTAACACACTCTGAATAAGTTACATAAGTGTGTATAGGACAAACGCCCAAAGAGTATTTGATTGACAGCAGCAAACAAATTAGCCAGGGTGGCAGACACCCTAACTCCACCAGGCTCCTAGAGAGGCAGTCAGAGACAGCCACAGCCAAGGAATAGCAGATTACAGCATAGACCAAACTCTCTGAACAAGCACAACAAAATAGCAATAAAGAAATGCTTACAATAGGTAGGGGTCTTTTGTTTTTTTGAGAGAAAGTCTCACTGTGTAGTTCAAACTGGCTTTGAATTCACTGTGTAGCCCAGGCTGACTTTAAACTTATCGGGATTCTCCTGTTTCAGCCTCCTAGTGCTGAGATTACAGGCTTGTTCCACCATACCCGGCTACACTGGATAGTTTTGTGTTTTAAATACTATTAATACATTTTAATTCTCACAACAATTCTGTGGGGGTAACTTATTATCTTTACTAATTTATAAATGAATATAACTTACTCAAGTGAATAAAAAGCAGGGATGGGATTCTAAGCCTCTCCTCCCTCCTGTTATACCTATATTCTAAATATTATTACCGGATGCGGTGGTGCATGCCTGTAATCCTAGCACTTGGGAGGCTGAGGCAGGAGGATCATTGCAAGTTCCCAGGCTGGGCTACAAAATGAGCCCAAGGCCAGCCTGTATTGCGTAAACAGATAAGGAGAACTGGTCTCAAAAAGACCAAAAAAAAATAAAAATAAATAAAAAAAAAAGAAAAGAAAAGAATTAGAGGGAAGCAGTGGTGGTCTAGATACTAAAAAAGGAAATTATCCTTTTTTGTGGTGCTGGGGGTCACACTCAGGGTCTCAAGCATGCTAGGGGAGCACTTTCCTGCAGGATTATGCCCTACTCCCCAGCCTCTCTGTATTTTTTTTTTTCTGGTACCGGGAATCGAACTCATGACCTTGCGCTTGCCAGGCAGGCGCTGTGCCGCTGAGCTAAATCCCCAGCCCCACCTATCTGTATTCGACTTGGCACACATCATATCATTTCTTCTGCCTGCCAGACATGCCATTGTGGTTGTGCTTCAGCTAAGACTGACATACATTTTCAGTTCATGAATGTGTCAGACCTGAACATTATAGCTGGCTGATCAAATATATATTGAGTGCTACCATGAAAGGCTTTTCTATGCTGATTTGTGCTATTCTGAATTATTATTATTATTTTTTTGTGTCAGACCTGAACATTATAGCTGGCTGATCAAATATATATTGAGTGCTACCATGGAAGGCTTTTCTACGCTGATTTGTGCTATTCTGAATTATTATTATTATTTTTTTGTTTGCTTTCATTTTTTAGACAGGGTCTCACTGTATAGTCTAGGCTGGTCTCAAGCTATGTAGCTCAGGTTGGCCTTGAAGGGTCAGTGATCTTCCTGCTTCAGCCTCTCAGTGCTGGGATTATAGGCGGGTGCCTGGCTATTTTGAATTAATTTGTGCTGCATATCACTGTGGTTTCAAGAAGGAGGTTTATAAACTGGACATGATGATGCATGCCTGCAATCTCAGTGCTCAGAAGGCTGAGGCAGGAGGATTGCTCGCCGTTCAAGGTCAGTCTGAATTGAGACATAGCAAGACCTGAACATAGCAAGACTCTTTCCCAACGAAGCAAAGCAAAGCAAAGCAAAGCAAAGCAAAATAGAACAAAGCAAGACGTTTATAAATAGCTCAGATAATAACTTTGTTCAGAAATCAGCCTGAATGGCAGTTCTGCTCATTTATACAGCATGAAATTTTACAGGGCTAGCGATGTAGCTCAGTGGCACAAGCGCCTGCTTGGCAAGTGCAAGGTCCCGAGTTCAATTTCCAGTCCCCCCCACCCCAAAGAAAATTTTACAAGCAGGATTCCAATGGATGTTCTTACAGGATTTTAGATACAGTATCATAAAAATACCTATCCCAGAGGTTTAGGTTTAGGATTAAGTGATTGGTATAAGGAAATAAAAATATTATTAGGGAGAGATCAGTGGGAAGAGGCAGAAAATGGGTGAGAAAGACAGTAGAATGTGCTAATGAGCTTGGTGTGTGTAGTAAGTAAGCTGGAGATGTTTATTCGTTCATCCAGGGAGGAGTGAAGGAGAACCACCGTGCTCTGAGCGGTGGGAGGGCTGTGACTGACGCCAGACCAGATCTCTGCATTGTAGAACTCACATTTTAGGTGATATACAAAGTGTTCTATCTTATTTGTTTAAAACATTGCTCTTTCTGGCTTTCCTTCTGTTTTTGGCTTTTCAAGCAAAGGTTTCCTGTGGAGATGAAAAATTTTATGTGGACATGAGTGTTTTTTCTCTTTTATAGGATTCTAAGGGCAAGACTAGTGCTTGTTTAATTTCTCATTCCACCCCTGTGCTGGCAGTGCTTTCTTGCAAATAGCATGGAGTGAAAGTGTGCTTGCTGGAAATCATGGAAAAGAGTCACATTACTTTGTAGTCCTCTTTGCACTCATGCGGAGATCACACACAGTACAAAGTGATAAAGATAAGCACCAAATCACTGGCACGTAAAGACGTGCTACAAAAATTACACAGAATGAGTGCTTATTTCGATTTGAGTGATTAAAGTAGAGAGGAAATCATTCAGCCTTGGGGAATAAGCAAGCTTTAGGTAGAAAAAGAGGAAACAGAAGCCAGGTGTGGTGGTGCACTCCTATCATCCCAGCACTCGGGAGGCTGAGGCAGGAGGATTGCTGTGAGTTCAAGGCCAGCCTGGGCTACACAGTGAGCTCAAGGCCACCTTGAACTTCATAGCGAGACCCTGTCTCAAAAAGACCAAAAAAACCCAACTACTGTGAGAAAAATACAGCATGATCCAGTTAGAGAAACTGCGATTGTGGTTTTGCTCTTTTTTCAGCCAAAACCATTTTAAGCCAATGTAACATAAACAGTTTGGGAAACGGAAGAAGACTTGGCAGATGGTGGCTGTGTTTCCAAGTCTGTGCTCGGATGGGTTGGGCTGTCTGCTTACTACGGCTTTGTTTCCAGTTGTGCAAGTGATGGACGTGCACGTGAAGTGAGAAAATCATTCTTCTTCCGCAGTCAAGAATTGATGGGGGCTGGGCGTGGTGGTGCACGCCTGTAATCCCAGCACTCAGGAGGCTGAGGCAGGAGGATCATTGTGAGCTCGAGGCCAGCCTGGGCTACAAAGTGAGCTCAAGGCCAGCCTGAACTGCATAGAGAGACTCTGTCTCAAAAAGACCAAAAAAAAAAAAAAAAAAAAAAAAAATCGATGGGGGGCTTGGATAGGAAGTACAAACACAATTTGTTTTTTTATGATTTTATCCCATTCTCTACAAACATGTGTAATTTCCTTGGTGTATATTTATGCACTCATTACACATATATAATTTTTTGGGCCTCAAAAATGTCATGCTTCCTCAGTTATCTTCCGTTTTGTGTGAAACTTAGTGGGTCCCAAACTGCTAAGAGCAACACGTAAATTATACGCTTCCATCGTGACCGACTGTTATTATTGGCAATGAGCAAACCATGTGGCATTGGGTTTCTAAATACTGAGATATATCTTCCAAATGTTTAGGCTTTGACAAGAACTAGTTTTTCAAAAAACTAATCCTTTTCCTTTCCATGTAGAGGGGTTTTTTTGTCTTTTTGAGACAGGGTCTCGCTATGCATTCAGGCTGGCCTTGAGCTCACTTTGTAGCTCAGGCTGTCCTGGAACTCACGAAGATCCTCCTGCCTCGGCCTCCTGAGTGCTGGGCTTATAGGCGTGTTCCACCATGCCCGGCCATGCAGAGTTAATGAACACACACACACACACACACACACACACACACACTCCCTACGAAACCAAGCAAATCTGTTTTACATACGCAACAGAAAACAAACCAAATTGCAATTTTTTTGGGTACTGGGAGTTGAACTCAGGACCTAGCGCTTGCCAGGCAGGCACTGTGCCCTTGAGCTACGTCCCCAGCCCAAGAAGCCAAACTGAAGAACACAGGAATATGGTGATGAAGGCAAAGGAGTCAGAGTGTGACCGCAAAGAGCTCTCCCGTTACCTTCGTCCCTCTCATCCGGGCTGGTGTAGATGGAAGCCAGGGTAAACAAGGAGAAGATGACAAAGGCCAGCAGGATGAACGCCATTTCCAGGTTGGTGAACGGAAGCTCCATGAACTACCAAACGCTCCTTACCTGTAATAGAAAGCAAACATTGGCCGAGCTCATCACAATCCAGGGAGCTTGGATTGTAGCTAACCAATCATTTATTTTGGAATCAAAACATGAGATTTGATAAAACTTATTAAAATACCCGTGTGCCTGGAATGAGGTAGTTGGCATTAACAAAGATGGAATAGTCTCCCTCCCTCCTTTTAAAATTTGGTACATTGAGCTGGGCGTGGTGGTGCACGCCTGTAATCCCAGCACGTGGGAGGCTGAGGCAGGAGGATCACTATGAGTTCGAGGCCAGCCTGGGCTACATAGTGAGTTCAAGGCCAGCCTGAACTACATAGCGAGACCCTGTCTCAAAAAAAGAAAAAAAATTGGCACAAATGAACTTAGAGCTTAACTACACAGTACCATATAGATTGAAAGAGAACATGGGAGTCCAAAAGGATCCTTTCCTTCCCTTCCCTTCCCTTCCCTTCC